CACACACACACACACACACACACAGAATATTTATTTGTTATAGTTGTCCTGGTTCATTCAGACCCAAGGTATTTTACCTCTTTTGCCAACTGCTGCAAGTTTCAGCACTAGCATTCCATAAACACATTTTTGCACAGCACTTTTGTATATATGTATACAAAGTACAAACTATGCATAAGATTAGCCCAAAGCCAAAAGACTCATTTATCACATAATTCATTGGTGTGGACTAGGGATGTAAACTGTTAAACAACAATTACATTTATACTGTTTACTGCTTACCATTTAGTGACCTCTGCCAGTAATGGTCCCGACCCCAATCCCAGACCCTGGGGTACCTGGACCTCTTGAGCCTCCGCAAGAGATGGTTGAGAGGCAACCTTGTGGCTGCCTATAAGTTCATCACGGGGGCACAGAAGGGAATTGGTGAGGTTTTATTCACCAAGGTGCCCCCGGGGGTTACAAGAAATAATGGCCACAAGCTAGCAGAGAGCAGGTTTAGACTAGACATTAGGAGGAACTTCTTCACAGTTCGAGTGGCCAAGGTCTGGAATGGGCTCCCAAGGGAGGTGGTGCTTTCCCCTACCCTGGGGGTCTTCAAGAGGAGGTTAGATAAGTATCTAGCTGGGGTCATCTAGACCCAGCCCTCTTTCCTGCCTATGCAGGGGGTCGGACTTGATGATCTATTGAGGTCCCTTCCGACCCTAGCATCTATGAATCTATGTCTTCACCATGCAACTGGCACTGTGTGGTCCCCAGGCCGGTGGCAGGTGCACGTGAGCCACTAGGGGGCACTGCCCAACTGAAGTACTGCTGCTTCCCTTCACCCCCAGGGGCAGGGAATGGGGCTGTGAACCCCTCCTGTGCCCAGACCCCACAGACACAGGGAGGAAGGGGGTGCCAGGCCCCTCACAGGGATCAAGTAGGGTCTCCCAGCCAGAGCAGTGAGACTCCCAGTCACATGGTGGGTCTGCCCAGCCACCCTGCAGAGCTTAAGCAGTCTCCCTGGGCTGCCTGCGAGACTTGTACTGTTGCAGCCTGGACCTGGAAGGCTCCTCTGCATGGTCAGGCTGAGTCCTCCCCAGCTCACCCTGGGGGAAGGGCAGATCCAATCCCAGTGACTTGGCCTCTTCCAGGTGTGCTGCATCCTTCCCCTTCCCATTGGTGGACGACTGCACAGTACCTGGCCTAGCCCTGAGGCAAGGCTGAGCACATAGCTGGCACAGCCTGAGGAGGTGTTGCAGCAGCTGAAGCAGGCAGTGCCAGGGCTGAGGGGTCACCACTGCCCATTCACATAGTGAGCATAGCCTCAGAGCGTTCCTGAAGGACGTGCAGCAGAGTGGTGCAGAAGAGGGGATCATTAGGGATGCAACAGGGGCCTGCCAGGCTACAGCTGCTGCGCTGCCACCCAACCCCAAACCACACTTGAGGACTATGATCAGACACAAAGAAATCATGACAAGAGTTTTGAAAATAAGAATTTATTTAAAATATATAAAATTTAGGTTCTCTATTTTTTTTTCTAGTTATTAAGGCTTTGTGGTGCCTTTGGATGACAATTCAAACTTTTCCTTTTTAAAAGCAGAACTCCTAGACACTTTAAAGTGACAGCTGAGATTTTTACATAATCACTTGTCTACAGGAGTCATGCCATTCATTTGTGTGCATTTCAATCCTGACTTTATTCACTGAAACTAACAAAAGAATATGTTATTGTGTAACAAACACATTTTACAATGCAGAATGGGATTTTTAAATAATATATAATAAATTTGTTATAATTTTCAAGATATAGAATTTAAGTATTGGAAGCTCATTTAAATTTCCATTAAACCAACCCTTCCTGGTTCTGGTCCAGGTTGGAGAAGTCCTGGGTTCAGATCCCAGCACTCTGGGCCCTACTCAAGCAGGGAAAGCAAAGGCTGTGGTTAAGTGGCCCTCTTGCCCTGTGCCCCACCTACTTCCTCTCCCTGCAACCTTCCTGGCCAACTGCCAGCTCTATCCTGTCACCTGCAGCTCCCCACATACATGGAGTCTGGATGCCTAAGAATGGGATAAATATAAGGCACAACAATGTGAGCAGGAAGCTACTTCAGCACTTTCTACTGGGTAGCATAGTAGACAAGTGGTCCTATTCTTTGCTGCTACTTAGCCACCTATCTCCAAAGTCCATGCTGGAGTTATCTGTTAAACCCTTATGAACAAAACCACTGCAATGCTCCCCCCCACACACACACTCCTTTACACCTATGTGCTATAGCACTCGCTAGCAAATGGGGGTCACGTGTTTTCAAATTTCTTTTCTGCCCTATTTGGAGCAGGGACTCAAATAGATCACAAGCAACTACTCGAAATCACTCTTCTGGGTATTCTGGGAAATGTATTCTCTCATGCTCTTCTATTAAAACCACTTCTCTTTGCAGACATATGTAGTCATTGAAGCAGGACTCCAAACGTTCCTCTCACACATCCCAAGTACTGGACTACTGAGAACGACACAGTCTCTCAGTCCCAACTATCATAGGGGATGCTTACTCAAACAGGTGTGCTGAAAAGAGTGTTAGTTGGACCTACAGGTGAGATAAGCTGGCAACACTTACTTTGAGAGACTTTCTGGGGTTTGGCCTCCAAGCAGCATTACAGCATCAGGAGCTAGACAGATTTTGCACATACCCACATAGAAACTTAAGCAGTTGCATGACTAGATAGTAGCTAAGAAGGGTTTCTTAAAGGTCTGAACACTGGAGTTAGTTACCTAAAGTAACTGCTAGGAACCCTCTCTGCTTTGTGCTTCACTAACTTGACATAATGCAAAAAGATGCATTTATCTCCCCATCCCTTGCTGCCATCCATACTCAAGCAAGGTTCCCATTGAAATCATCAGGAATCTTGCTTGGGTAAACACTGCAGGATTGAGCCCTAGATACAACATAGGTAAAGCTATAATCAAATCACTTCCAGTTATACAGACACCAATTAATTAAATATGCAACAGCAAGGACAATCTACTAGCAACCATTTCTACGGATTTTTTTTTTTTAACATGAATTTTCAGAGGACTGCTTATTGAAGTAAGTGTAAATTTTGGATTTTATAATTAATTTGTCCCTAAACAGGTGAAATTTTCTAATCAATTTTTTGTGGTTTATCGAAACGTGCCAATAAAGCCTTCCACATGCTTCCTGGTATTTGTTGGTGACTTTGTATCAGATTCTGGACGGCAGTCTTTGTCTGGTAAGGAAAATGGAGGAAACAGTTAAACTTTTACAAGGCTTGACACTATGCAGTCATACATAGGAGAGCCCCAATTGTCTTTTGCAACCTGGAAATGAGGAATTGGGGCAGGGTGGGAATTATTGGGAAAACATGCATGTACTTAAAAATAAAAATAAAAAGAACTACCAGAGAGCATGTAAGCAGCTGCAGAAACTCTCGTTAGGTTTTCAGTACATACTAATATTATGCACACACATACTTTCCTAAATTAGGCTGTTCATGTGAGTTTCTAATAATGAAACTGAAATGGTAAGCACAGAAGGACTAATTTGTGCTCCAACTGAAATGGATGGCAAAATAACCTACTAACTAAATGGGAGCAAGACTGATGTAATATTGCAATGAGCACTGCATAACTTGTCCTGAAAAATTACAAACAGGATTCTAATGTACCCTCCCTTCACTTAATTTATGCTTTGGGTTCATTGTTTCAATGGGAATGAAAGCATCTAGAAATAAGGTTTGTGAAGTCAGTACCTAAATCTTCTGGAAGTCAGTGTAGGCAAGTCAAGTAAACAGGTTCCTCAGCTTTGTACAAGGAAAATCCTTTGTAATTGGAACTACATACAGCGTTCAAGGCCTGCTGGAACAGCCCCCCTGATTACAGAGAATGGGCCTGACTGGCTCTACAAACCATATTTCCCTAAAGAGTCTACATTTTCCCCAAAGACAGTTCTTGCAGTCACAGCAAGCTGAGCAGAAGTGGGTATCCATTAAGATAAAAAACTTCAGTTCTACAAAACTAAAATGACTGTAGAAAGATGTGTCTAGAAGCATTAGAACTCCTATTTCATATGGTATGGCACAGCTTTAATGGACTTGCTTGTCTAGTGGTTAGCCACCTAAAGCATGGGTGCAGTCCAGCTATCTGGGGGTACAAAGATGCCTGGCATCAGAATTGGAGTTGGGAGCCATAGCCAAAGTCAGAAAAGACCAAGGTCAGAAGCCATAGCTGGAGATGGGGTAAGCCAAGGGTTAACCACGATCACAGGCCAAAAGCCAGTGCTGACGGTCAAACCAGAATTAAGACCAGAGAACTGGAATCAAGGCATGATGAGGATCTTACCAGAGCACCAGCAAGAAAGCACATGGAAAGTCAGGAGCAAGAACTTTCACCTTTGCTCAACAAGGATACCATGGGTTAGGTCTAGCTTTTAGGGGCTGGAGTGGTTGGGCCTGCTGCCTGTGGCTTCAGGTGACTGGCTGCCCAGGTTGCTTCATGCAACCCAGCTAAGACCAAGGCATGGCTCTGGGGTTGCATCACCTGGTGCCTGCTCAATGGATGACTTGCCCTGATCTGATTGTGACTGGCTGGGTACAGGGTTCTGGTCTGGCCTCATTACTGTAAGGTCCCTAAAAAAGCTGCAGTGATCAATAAAAATATTAGACAGCTGCAACTTGTTGGAAGCTCTGACAGACAGAAAACAGCAGCACCACCTGGTGTGCGAGTGGGAGCACAGCACCATGCAGGAAGCATCTCAACTGCATGCTGTAATACTGCTGAGTTGTCAGTAGGCCCCTTTAGGGCTAGGGACAGACATTCAAAAAGCCAGAACCTGAGTTGATTCAGCCTTTGTAGTTTAGTCTAACCTGCCTAGGCTGAACCGGTTTGTAACAAGGCAAATATGCTCTCTGAACTGAGGCAATGCAGGTACGTGTCTGCAGGTGCTCAGGCCAGGCACCTGGGGGTGCTAGAGCACACCCTCAGCTGGGCTGAACTGGCTGGAGAGGGGTTTAATTCCCTGCTCCCTGTCCTACTGGAGGGACCGGAGCTGGGTCTGCTGGGTGCTCCCCGCTTGCTGCTGCACCAGCGGGGCACCATGGCCCGCAAGGCAGAATGGGGCAGGGAAGAGAGTTAGTCTCTCTTCTACCCCAACAGGCAGTTGGGTCTGCCTGCCTTTACCCCTGCACTCACTGCCCCGGAATAGGCCCCTGCTGTCCCCTCTGCCAAATGATGGAGGAATAACCCCTGTCCCACCCACCCTAAGGGGCCCTGCAGGCTGGCATCTGACTGTGCCCCCTCCCCGCCGCTGCTGTGGGAAGGGGAAGACCCTTGTTGGAGGCAGGGGGCCCTGTCCTAATGGGGGGGAGGCC